ACAGACAAATATCTTTTATGTTACAAACAATATTATTTTCTACATAATTGGAAAAAACCACTACCTTCATGGCTGCTTTATTTCAGAGTGCTATTTTCAGTTTATTCATGACAATCTTCTTTAGTATAATGTTGTTAGAATTAGCAGTATTATTTATTAAATTCATATTTATTAACACAAGTTTAGATTTGTCCACCTGTCAGGTTTTGGAGACGTATGCATCACCATATGAGGCATAAGAATAGGATGTGTGTTTGGATATGGCTCAGTTTTTTGACCACACTTTGTTATTGTTCATTTATTCGTTTGCTGGAAATTAGAACTGATTTTAGAAAAAGTTTTAAAATAAATCTTATAAATATCTAGGTTAATGGATATCTTCAGCGGAGTGCATACAACACCGTTTGCTTATCCACAGAAATAAAGGAGTAAAGAGTAAAAGGAAAGAGAAAGTAAAGAGGCCGAATGGAGAAGGCTCGTTCTTTATCCTCACGCAAATGGTCTGCTTAACTGTTTTCTCACTAGTAAAGCATTCAGTATTAACATGTCGGTTTGCGGATGTTAAATCAGGTTTATTTTGCCATCTCCAGGTTGAAGGAAAGTCATTACCCCAGGTGGGGGAGTTCAAGTATCTTGGGGTTTTGTTCAAAAGTGAGGAAAGGATGGAACATGAGATTTACAGGCGGATTGGTGGAGCGGCAGCAGTAATGCGGTCGATGTACCAGTCCATTGTGGTAAAGAAGAAGCTCAGCCGAGAGGCAAAGCTTTCGATTTACCTGTCAGTCTACGTTCCTACTCTCACCTATGGTCATGAGCTGTGGGTCATGACCGGAGAAAGACAATATCTTGGATACAAGCAGCTGAAATGAGTTTCCTTAGCAGGGTGGCACCCTTATGGACAGGGTGAGGAGCTCTGTCCCCCGGGAGGAGCTCCGAGCCGCTGCTCCTCCACATCGAGAGAAGTCAGCTAGGGAGGTGTTTTAGGCATGTCCCACCAGGATGAGGCCTCAGGGAAGACCCAAGTCATGCTGGAGGGACTATGTCTCTCGGCTGGCCTAGGAACACCTTGGGATCTCCCTGGGGGAGCTGGAGGAAGTGTATGGGGAGAGGGAAGTCTGGAGTTCTCTCCCAAGACTGCTGCCCCCACGACCCGGCCCCGGAAAAGCGGATGAAAACGACATGACATTACCATATTGGATATCCATACAGCAGTGGATATTATCATGTATCATGTCAAATTTGCTCTGCAAAACAATGGTGAATGCGCGCTCTGTGTGTGTAAACTTTGTAACGACATTGTGTGTGATTCATTGTGGCAGAAAGGCTTGAAATAACTCCACAACAAATACAGCAATTTCCGAGAGATGGGAAGGCATCTGCTGCGTAAAACATGTGTTGGATAAGCTGGCAGTTTATTATGCCGTGGCGACCCTGGATTAATAAAGGGACTAAGCCAAAAAGAAAATTAATGAATGAAAATACAGCAAATAATCATTGCTAAAGTTCTTACTGTAGTATTTCAAAGAAACGATACGTGAGATGTGCTTCCTTCATGTCTGTCACTGTGCTGTTTATCTGACACAGCCGAGGCAGAGATTGAGGCACACTCTGACCGACATGTAGGAATGGTGGGTGGAGAGAACTAGCATTAAAGGCACAAGCAACAAAAACAGCTACATAGTGTTCAGAGCAGACAATTCCAATATTCTGAATGGTATAATAAATAATCTGATGGGTGTTTAGAGCTGAAACTTTACAGACACATTCTGGAGACACAAAAGACTTCTCTTAAATCTTGAAAAAGGGGTAAAATAGGTGCCCTTTAATAGTTAATAGTGAGAATTGTACCATAAGATAAAGTGTGGCAGTATATTGTTTGGGAAAATCCTGATGCCCATGCTGTTGTTTTAATTTGCATTTGCAGACACATCATTGCAGACTGAGTAGAAGAATTTAAAGCTTATTTGTTTAAAGCACATCCGAGACTTTAGGTGTTCTGAGTGCTTTTTGTCTTCAGTTGTTTTTGATGAAACCTGAAACCAGTCGCATGCCTCAAGGGACCTGGAAAGATTTGTCTATGACACAACTGACTGTTATTTCTTGAGCTTTACAGTAACACCAATGGTAATACATATGCTTCCTCATTGTTTTGGTAAAATGTTGAACAGTGGATCTGCAAGTAATTCCCCATACCTCATTGAAAACTAAATACTCTTCAATCTGAAGTTATGCCTGACGCTGGCCTTCCACTTGTACTCACACACACACACGCACACGCACACGCACACACACACACACACACACACACACACATATATATATATATGTATATATATATATATATATATATATATATATATATATATATATATATATATATATATATATATATATATATATATATATATATATATATGTATATACAAACCCATGCTCAGCTGTGGCTAGGGATACAGAATTTGTTTTATGTTGTTGTCTGTTTGCTCTGCACAAACATAGCAATCCATTCCAGGACTTCCTGATAGTGTTACTCAACCCTGATACACACACAGCCGCAGGTTGAACAGCAACGGTGAAGCCATATATGAACCAGTGTGCAGCCTTCCTGTTTATGATGCGAACACACAGAGCACCTATATGTTTACAGGCACATTTTACAAGCTCTGCAGGATGTGGCCTTGCTCTTGAGGGTGGAGATTATGAGCGCAGTGGAGGAAAGATGGGGAGGTTGAGGGTTACTTTATATAGGTATACCTGACACAACATACCAAGCAAATGGTGAAGTTCTTTCCATCACCTGCACAATGGAAATAGAAGTGGTGCGCATATTTGTGTGGTTTTGTTGCGAAAGGTACAAATGAAAGGTTCTGCGTGCCAAGCTAAACATGCATACTACACTGATAGATGGTTTTTATGTATACTAGACAAGTATTTTATCACCTATTCCACTACTAAACATATCAATATCACTGAACTAGATAAGAAAGTATCCGAGTTGAGATTTATAAACAAATGATGCTATTTTTAGTCGATTAAGTCAGTTTACACAGATGTTCTTGCACATTAACAACAGATGTAATTTGTTATGGGCAAGGTTTTACAAGTAGATAGTGTCTACACTCTCAAAAATAAAGGTAAAAGGGTTGTCACTGGGGCAGCACCTTTTTAAAAGGTACATATTTGACATGGAGTCCATGTCAAATACCTCAAAGGTACATTTTAGGTGCATTTTGGGTACTGATATGTACCTTTGAGGTACCAATAAGTACTCTTTAGGTACAAGAATGTACCTTTTGAAAACCCTTTTTTTTTTTTTTTAATTACATACCTTTTTTCTGAGAGTGTACAGTATTATTAACAGTATTAGTTTTAAGTTTTTCAAAACTGTTCTAAGACAAGAATGCGTGTTGTTCAGTAGTTTTAGGACAACTTCAAATAATACTGTAAATACTGTCCAAAACATGAATATGTTTATAAGTTGCCGTATCAGATTTGGTTTTACAGAGTCTCAAACAGCCAACAAAGGCTTTTTAATATTTTTTCCACATTTTGAGTGCCTTAGACTTTCTTTTACTGTTTATTCTGATGAATTTCTTTCCCAAAAAGCACCGATACATTACTTAAGCTACCCCTGAGAACTCTTTGTTTAATTTTGGAGCTCAGAGATCCTTTTTGTTAATATTCATCAAGTTTTTATACTATAAAACATGTATTGTAAGGTTCAATTCTCGCCATTAACTAACTAGTATGACCTCAATAAACTCTTACTTTACTACTTAATACAAGTTATTAAGGTTAATAGTTGGGTTTTAGGTAGGATTAGGGATGTAGAATATGATTATACAGAATATGTACTTTTTAAAGTACCAATAAACAGCCAATATCTTAATAATAGGCAGCTAATAAGTAGGGCCAGAGAGAATGTGTGGACATTTTTTTGCAATTTCTGCTGAGAATTTTTACTTTTTTAACTTTTATTTAATGTTTACAATGTAAATCCAATTTGACTCAATTGTTTGGTAAACAAAGCAAGTCTCTCATATCAGACAGAAAATATTACTTCACAAACTGTATTGTAAAAAAAAAAACCATATGAACATTTTAATATTATTATTATATTACAATAATAATACTTAAATTAATTTAAAAACGGAATAAAAATACATTTTCACACATTTACACAATTGAATAAACTCAATGATGGGCTATCTGTGGATTTCTGCACGCGCAGATTCTGTGTGGGCCTACTAATAAGCCATTAGTTAATAGTGAGAATTGGTTCTGATACTGAAGGGTTACCAAATAAATGATGCAGTGATATTTACAACTTTATAAGTAAACAAACTAGTGATTCCCCCTAATCCTTTGAGATCTAACGTCAAAGCAACTGTACGTGTTAGAAGGGGGTTTTCAGTTAACTTAATCTGTTTGAGGACAAAGTTACATAACGGCCAGGCTCTAACGGTTTTCCTGATGACTTCCGTGGTCTGTCCTTTTGCTTTACCAAAGTCATCACATTGAGTTTGACCACAGTACCCCATCAGTGCTCCTCTAGACTACCAATGACTGTACTTCTCATAGGAACTCCCTCATATCAGTCAATCGTGGGTCATAACATTAGATAATGTGCAAAATATCTGCTTTGCTGCATGATAGACGCCAGATCCACAAAGATTAGTAAAGCCATAATGATCCAAAATATGGGTTCTGTGAAAATTGCCGTCCTGACCAAATAGAAAGATTGTGTTCCCTCTTCCACAGTGGTCAGTCACAAGTAGGGTTCAGTCAAGTCTGGAATGAGCCAATCACAAGACATTCTGGTAGCATGTGCAGCCAAAACCATCTACCCTGCTTTAGTGCAGTATACACACACCATTATTATGGTTATTGAACTTTCAACTTTAATAGCATTTGACAGCAGGAGATGTATCCTTTTCTTGGTCCCAGTCATCAATCTTTTTACACCACAAAAAGCATGAAATGATACTCCAGAAGACTTCTTTTCTCAAAAATATGGGTTTTTATTGGTTTTAACTGCAATCAGTCATTACAAAAGAAAGATCAATCTTATATAAACTCATAGAAATCACTGTAGTGAACAGCAATAGCTGTTTATAAGAAAAAAAAAAATACATTCAACTCTTCAGATACTTTCTTTGTGTCTATACTGTTAACCAACTTGGACAATCACTGCTTACACCACAGAGGATACAAGCAATAGGTCCTAAAAAAGTAGCATCCCAGCTTTATTTAAGGCAAAGAACGCTTGCTTATGGAATGTGTGATAGAGGCACTTTACATATAGGCTGGGACATCCGAATGTCCAAAGACAACAGGACTTCAACCCATTAGGTCACAATTATTGCCTACAATTCATCATATTCACCACTATAACCAAATAAACTGCTTTAACACTGGAGGTTTATTACCTGCAACATCATTAAACCTTTGTAACGCACAATCAGAACAATAAAAAAGCACTTCATGGTGGTATTTTAAAAGTGGTGCATATGTTTTAAGGCCACAAAACTCCTGCATCATGTATTAATGCATATTTAAAAACAAAATGCTGATCATTTGTTCCTCGTTATGTCAAATCTACCACCAGGCTCAGGCATTCAGTAAACTAGACTGGTAGTCAAAGTCTCTTTTTCACAAAAACGTAACTTTTGGTGGTTAAGAAACAAGAGTTTTCACTGCCATAATACATGTTCTTTGCTACAAAATGGGAATTAACTTACAAAAATGTGCAGAATTTTCTTTTTCATTAAAAAAAAAATAATAATAACTGTGCTGACGCTCATGTGAGTTTATTACCTAGGAATGATTGTATGCTAGTACTGATTTTGCAGTCAAATATCTGGGAACAGGGAATGACAATAAATCTACAATAAATAAATGAAAATGCAGAGGATTTTTTTATGTTTTTGCTCTTTTTTTTTTTTGCTTTAAATTAAGTTTCATTTAAGTGTAGTTGCCAACAAAAGTCATGTAGTACAATATATTAAACTGTGAAAAAAGAAAGCTGACAAGTCTTCACAATCTTAAGATTAATACAGAAGATCATAATTTAACATAAAAGAAAATATATTCTATCGTTTCATTATCAAGATAAATACAAACAAAATTAACAAAAAAAATGCATATGATCACCAATAAATATGTTTCGATAAGTTAAATAAGCAGTGACAAGCAAAACCTTCGGTTGTGAAAGGTTTTCAAACAATAACAATAATATAACCATAATAATAATAATAATAATAATAAACAATGACCATAATAAAAAAATCAAAACCAAGAGTTGGAAAGATGACGAAGTGCTCCTCTGAGCAGAATCTATGGAAAAAAGGTGTGCTTGTATGAAGAACTAAAGTGAAGCTGCATGAGGTTGAACTGCACCTTGGGAATGATGGAATTCCCCCTCTGTTTGCCGAGTGGCCTGAGGGAAGGCGGCGTTTAGAGGTGGGAGAGAAGAAAGAGTTTGTCTGTAAGGTTTAATAACAAGATTCCCTTCCCAACAAATGTTAAGTAACCAGCAACTAATGGGAAAAAGGGGCACTAACAAGAACAACAAAACAAAAACAAAAAAAACAATAGTAAGGAACTGTTCATTTTTCGAGTGGAGACATCCCATCTCAGGGTTTTTGTGCTGCTGTAAGCGAGACATGGAGCATGTAGCACCTAACTGAACATTTGAATGTGCCTGAAATATTCCAAAGCTCCACTCTCATTCAACCCTTATGAGAAAAGTCCTTCCTGCAGACCGGTGCAATCTGCAATTTCAAGGGAGGGGGCGCACACACTCAGAACAAGAGCTACATAATCAGGCCATAAAGAAGGAAGAAATATATATATTAAAGATAAAAAGAAACAGTGGTCCATTCACCCCAACACTCGACCCCCAGGCACTTGTCTTTTTTTCACATCTTTTCCTGTTTTTCGCTTTAAGCCGGTCTACAAAGACAGTTGTTAAAGGTCTAAGCATGACACTTGTGAACTTTAGTTAGTTATGAAAGAGTGTCCTTGAGAAGAGTGGCGATTTGTGAGGGGGAAGGAAGGGCGCAGGGTTCTCCCTTAACCATGCCACCAGCTCCGCTACACTTGACTACAGCTGTGGCACCTGGCACAACGGTCTCATACCTCTCACGATTAGCATTTTGCTAATCCACTTCCTACTCTGTGTAGTTTGGCACAGTCACACCAGGAACATAGCAGGGGCTCGACATGATGTGGCCCGGAAAACAGAAGGGTCTTGAGGCCGGGACAGTTTTAGCTTGTTCTGGTTAAAAAGAGTATTCAAAAAGAGAAAGATCCCTTAATTCACTGCATCGGTTTCAGAGCGGAAGTAATACAAGGAAGGAACTGTACGGCTTCTAGGGGGCCAGAGAAATGGCAAGAGGTGGAGGGAGTGCTAGCATCTCATCCTCTCAAGACTGCTGCATGCAGTGGAAAGGGGGACGGGGTCTGGCTCAGTGCGCTTTAGTCATCGGAGATGGAAAGCCTGCTGAAGATGGGCAGTCGGCGAGTGGTGTCAAGGACGGGAGATTCAGATCCACTTAGACTTCCACTTGAGCTGCTCTGGTAGCCCTCTTGGTCAGAAAGTGAGTCTGGCTGACTGGATGGAGACTCGTAGAGGTTTGGAGACTCTGACATTGCCCTGAAGTAGAAAGGGGTTGATGTTGGCGAAGGTGGCGCCTGGGAGGAAGGGTCAGAGCAGGACAAAGGTGCATTACCCAGGCTGGGGCTGAAGAAGTTGGCCAGCTCCTGGCTGGAATACGTGAAGGGGTTGCTGCTAGGCCACTCGGGCAGCTCATCGGGGGAAAATATAGGTGGTGGGGTGACTGAAGTGGGGCTGTCCCTCAAGCCTCCAGAGCTGGGGAACCCCGCGAAGCTGTAGCTGTGTTGCAGCCTTGGCCTCTCCATCTTGTTGGATGCTGAAAGGGGGGATGGGGTTGGAGGAGGCCCTCGTCGCTCTTCTGCATTGTGGATGAAGTGGCAGCGCGGGCCATAAGGGCAGAAGCCAATGGTGTGGAATGTGCGGCAAAGCTCAGTCTTGTACTTGGGATGGCGACTCAAGCTACGCAACTCATGAATGCCATGGGCAAACTGGCACTTGTCACCGTACTTGCAAGCTCCATTCTCCTCGAATGGCCTGCATAACTCTGTCTTGTAGCGGCTCGAGTTGACCTGGCTGTTGGGGCCTCCAGGGCCCGAACACTTCTGTAGCAGGCGATCCCCTGTCTCTGAGAAAGAGCGGTCTCGGAGTCGGTTCTCTTTGTTGCTGCTGCCGGTGGTTCCTGTCCCTGAACCAAGCAGGGATGGATCTGCCTTAGCAATGTTCAAAAACTGGTTTTGGTTGAGTTTGGTGTTAGCCGAAGTTACAGAGTGCCGGCGCTGGTAAACCCCACCAGTAGAGGGTGTCCCCACAGCCTTCCTGTCCAGCAGGCAACCAGTGGGGTTAGAGATGGACAGACTAGTCCCAGTGCAAGGGACGGAGACAGGGTGCGGAGAACTGAGGATGTTATTATTGTAGTTTAGCATTTTGTTCTAAAAAAAGGACAGAAAAAAAAACAACATTAATTTTTTTTGAAAGCCACAATGTGGTTGGCACGTCTTAACTGTTTTGCACTGGCTTTGTGTTATACCCATGAGTAAATACAGGCCTAAACAACTGCTAGTTTGGCTTGATGCCCACTTAGTGAACGCTTGACTGCCTCAGAAATGCAAAGACTGCTGTGCGTGTCTGATGAATAAAGACTGAACAACTTGTACAGTTTCAGAGGTGAGAAAACCTCAGTTTGCATACTTGTGGACACTGATGACCCTGTCTGATTTTAAAATGATCATCATCCTGCTTGAAACCTTTACATACCAACTAATTCTGCTTTTCACCACAAGAAAATATGAGTTTATATGTAGTACATAGATGGGTGTACATAAAATGGATTCCTAAACTTTTACACTTATCTAGCCAGTATATTATTATTATTATTATTATAGTACACTGCAAAAAAGTAGTAATTTAAATAAGAGTTTGCAAAAGTAAGGGTTACAGAAATATACACTAAACCCTTTATGATGCATCTGTACAGCACAGAAAAAAACACATTAACTCCACTGACAAATGATGTCCGACTGCAGTTATGGTTTAACCACATAAATGGACTCATATACAGCTTGACTCACTGTTTTTCTAAGTCACTCCTCTTAGTCAAAGTTTAATTCAATGAAATCATGGGACAGCCCTGACTTAGCACAGATTCACACACCATTCAAGTTTCTACACCCAAACAAGACATTTAAAACTATTTTCTCAGATAGGAGTATTTTTTCCTCTACATTTTATAGGTAGTGAAACCGGTTGTTCCAAACTTCAGTTGGTAAACAGATCAAAAGGAAGCACATACATAGATAGTTGAGTGAATACTCTTGTAAGGTATACTAAAGTCTGATTTAAAATAAAAAAGTATTTAGTCTGCGGTTATGCATGTATAATCTCAACTGAAATACATATTTACTTAAAGAACGTGTACCTTAATCACACTAAGTGAGCATTTTAAATGATCTTATAGAGGTAAACGAGTGATTAAAACGGTTCAATGTAATAGCAAGACGCAAAGAACATACACTTAAACATCTGTAATCAGACAATCCTCTTATGTTGTAAAATCACAGTCGTGGATTCTCCATAACAAGCCTAAAGGAGGAACTTTAATGGCTGCAAAACTCTAATCTTTAGTCTCGTTCATTTGGTCTCGGTTTAAACTGAGTAAAAGCAGTACTGTTGTATTTCATAGCGACTTAATTTCGCCTAAAACCACGCATTTAATCCTAGAAAGAAAGCCTGCCTCAACATTCCACAACACAAACTGATCCAGCTGAAACTTTTCTCCATACCTTGTTGTTGATCATTTCGCTGAAGTCGAAGAAAGGCGACACCACGGCTGTGGTCATCTTCCAATCGTTGATAAATAAACAGCGGAATAAAAAGCAGAAACTTCAAACTGTAACAAGCTAGTTCTGGTTGTGTAAACTTGTGTTGCCCTAAAAGAAACCCCCTCTGTCTTGCTCCTCCGTGGCCGCGCTGCATTTCCTTTTAACCCAAATGCAGGAGGAGCTTCGGGAGCGTCACATATGGGCGTTTCTCTGTTGCTCCGTTTCAAGTTTTCTTTTTTTTTTCTTCTCCTCTTTGCTTTCACTCGCGCATAGAAGTTACAACGCAGTTTAAAAGTTTAGTGCAGCTCTTCTGCTGTTCATTTATAAATCAGCAGTGTTGTGTGCAGTTGTTTGTTCCCATGATGACTGAAACTGCATTGTTTACGTTGTTGCGTATTTTCAACGCTTGTAATTGCAACTTATACATAATGTGAAGTATAATCTTATGCACATTTTTTTTCAGCTAGACTTTAGTTTTGGAATCTGCAAGTTATCACTAAACTGAAATGAATGTCAGGTACTAAAATAATGCACAATAACTTCTATTTAAAACAAGCATGGGGGAATTTTCTGCATGAATGCTTTAATAATCACCAATTATATTTCATTCTAAACGTTTTACTTTTGCTGGTCCAGTGGAGAGTGTTACATTGGTAAATAAAGTATATTTTTACACATTCTGTCACCTTGATTGATCCCAACAATCATTTTTTTTTTTTTTAAAGATGTCTAATGGATGTCTAATAGATGTCTAAAATTGTCTTGGCTAAAACAAGACTAAATTTGGGCTGTCAGTGAAATTCTTATAAATAAAGTATATTTTTACACATTCTGTCACCTTAAGTGATCTCAGCAAGCTTTTTTTGTTTTCAAAAGATGTTTAATAGATGTCCAATAGACATCTAAACATAGTTGTCTTGGCTAAAACATGACTAAATTTGGACTTTCAGTAAAAATCTATTAAATAAAGTATATTTTTACACGTCATCTCGAGTGATCCAGCAATAATTTTTAGTTCTTAAAAGATGTCTAATAGATGTATAATAAACATCTAAACATAGTAGTCTTGTCTAAAACATGACTAAATCTGGGCTGTCTGTAAAAATCTAAGGAATAAAGTATATTTTTTACATATTCTGTCACCTCGAGTGATCCCGGCAAGCTTTTTTGTTTTTAAAAGATGTTTAATAGATGTCTAATAGACATTTAAACATAGTCGTCTTGGCTAAAACATGACTAAATTTGGGCTGTCAGTCAAAATCTATTAAATAAAGCATATTTTTACACATTCTGTCACCTTAAGTGATCCAAACAAGCAATTTTTGTTCTTAAAAGATGTCTGAAAGATGTCTAATAGATGTCTAATTATAGTATTCTAGCTAAAACAAAAAATAGTTTGTGCGGTCAGTAAAAACCTATTAAATAAAGTAGATCTTTTCACAGTCACCTCAAGTGATCCCATCAAGCATTCTTTATTTTTTTAAGATGTCTAACAGATGTCTAATAGACCTGGCTAAAACAAGGCTAAATTTGGTCTGTCAGTGAAAACCTTATAGATGTCTTAGGATAGGCCAAAACTGTAGTCATTAGATAAACAGAAATTAATGACTATATATAAGTTGATCTAATCTGTCTATTTGACGACGAGTCTAGTTTTGGCTATTCTTAGATGGCTATTGGATTTTTACTGACAGACCAAGTTTGTCTACGTTTAGATCTCTATTAGACATCTAATAAACACAAAATTGTTTGCTGCTATTATTCATGTAAGTACTTCTGCATTAAAATGTACCATGAAAAAATCTAAATGCTGTATCAATTCAAATTCATTGGAGTAGCCTATACTGCTTTGAGATCAACATCAAAATTACATTACTCAGTCAGGACAAACCCCCTCCCGCAGCCCACCCGAGCAATCCATGACAGGGCAAGAACTGCACCCTTCGTCTGCACTGAGTCATTCTGTATTTGTGTTACAGCTGAGGAAGAACAGCACCACTTAGGACAAAAGTTTTTAGAGATGTTGGAGGAGGGTACAGATTTACTGGGGATGTTTGCTGCAATGCCCTGGGCTGTGTGGGGCGGGGGAGCGAGCACGGAGGGGAGGAAGGGGTCACAACACCCCTCTTCTTCCCTCCCAGCCAGAGGTGGAAGTTTTTATAAGGGTTTTTTTACTCTCTCTTTCCCTCCACACACACTTTAATAGCGCGCATTTCATGGAGACTGTAGGCGAGATGCAATGCTTGCATGTTTTTGCATTGATCTTCAATGTTTTTTTCTTCTGCATGTAAGAAGAAGTTTAACAAGTTCCCGGGTGCAGCGTAATCTCCCCCCGGGGTGTAAGAGAGACACAACCGAGAATGACAGGAGCTGTTGAGATTACATTTCAAAGTGTTTTCGGCCAAGTTATCAATACTTTGATGATAATGTAAACCACAAGATAGGATAGTGCAAGATTGCATTTTGTTACGCGATTATGACGTCACACGCGTTTATTTACATTGGATGTTGAAATGCTATGCACTATACACTGTGTATTTAAATTTATAAAATTTTATCTATTTAACCATTGTTATTTTAGTTTTTTGTGTTTCATCTTTGGTATTGTGTTGTATGTTTGTTCCTGATGGTTATGCAAAAAAAAAAAAAAAAAGTTTCTCACAGGTCCTGCAAATGATTTGTGGCGTTTGTGTGCGTTGAGTGTTTGTGCAGTGCGTGCTGTTGGCCTGTAGAGGGAGCGCTTTGTTTCAATCTGCGCTTAAAAGATTCCTGCACATCGGGTTTCCCGTTGTTTGTTGTGCAGAGAGAGGGAGCAGGAGAGACTTTTCAAATGGTATGAAATATACAGGATTACTTTGCTCTTTAAACTTTAAGTAGGCTATGTAGGAGGAACCATATGAGTTTCCAAGAGTTAGATATACTGAGGTAACCGCCCTGCTGGTACAACTAAGTTGATAACTCGAGTCATTTCATTTTTTTATATATATATATATATTCTACGTCCACAGATGACTTATTTATTTCCCCTCAGACAAATTATATTATATTATATTTTTCTTTCATTTGAGGTATGTTTACTTGGGGTGATTTGTGATTCTGCTATCCATCTAGCAGTTTTTTTTCTTCCAGTTTTTTCTATTTAAGGCGAGTGTTTTAAAGGCTAAGCACAATTGAAATGAGAAAAAAATTAATTGTCCATAAAAGCTTGGCCACAGTATCGTAAGTGGTACACCACTAGATCTCTCCAGTCATGTTTTTCTCATACAGCTCCTCTACAAAGTAGCTTTTTGCCCCCTCTGCTCTTTATAAAAGACTTCAGCTGTACAATGAGTTGCTTAAATGGTCGAGGCTAATGATCTGGATTGAAAAAGAAAAAAGTTTAACTCTAAAATATAAACAAGGGAGGTTAATGTGGCCTTCTTTTAGACCTCTAGAATATGGAAACAACATTAGCTTAAAGATATAGATTTTTAGCTATAAAACCACATTTCTTGGTTTCTCAGCAGTGAGAGCAGTGAATTGGTGAATGTTCAGAAAAAGGACAAAAATTGTGTGAGACTGATTACAGCAGCCAGAAGAGAAAACAATGTCAAATGTACAGTCCCGCCCATAGACGTTGCATTAGAAACACCTCGCAAAACATTAATCAGTTTTTTGTAATTTGGTTCAAAGATACGGTGAGAGCTTAACGTGCTGCAGTTGAAGAAAACACTTGCAACTACAAAAAACACTAGCAAACTGAGGAAAGATGTTCATTTATTTGACAGCACACGTGCTGCAAATCCGCACAATGCATACGCATAAAAAACACGCTGCATTTTCTCACAACGCAAACAAACTAATAAAATCCAACTGAATTTTTTCACAACGCAAACAATTTAGGAAAATGTGCTGCATTTACTTAAAATGCAAACAAACTAATAAAACGTGCTGCATCTACTCACAATTAAAATGAATAAAATGCACTGCATTTACTCACAAAACAAACAAATTAATCAAACGCGCTGCATTTTCTCACAAAGCAAACAATTTACGAAATCGTGCTGCATTTGCTCACAATGCAAAAAAATGATTAAACGTGCTGCATAAACTCAAAAACGCAAACAAATTAATTAAACGCACTGCATTTTCTCTTAATGCAAATAAATAAAACACGCTGCATTTACTCGCAACACAAAAAATTTATAAAACACACTGCATTTACAACACAAAAAAATTATAAAACACACTGCATTTACTCAGCGCAAAAAAATAATCATAAAACACTGCATTTACTCACAGCACAAAAAAATGTACGAAAATGTGCTGCATTTACTATACATTCACAATGCAAAAAATGTATTAAATGCTGCCTTTATTTACAACAAACAAATGAATAAAACACGCTGCATTTTCACAAAATGCAAACAATTTATGAAAACGTGCTGCACACTTACAAATAGCTCAGAATACAACTGAAGTGTTTTAAGGGGGAGCCTAAAACGTGACAGACCCAGCTATTTAGGTTATGGTTATTAGGGTTATAAAATACAAAAGACAAGCAAATCAGGATATTGAAATAAACTAACATAAACTCTCATTTTAAAGATCAATTTGGCAATAGTCACGGCACGGTGACATGCGTCACGTTTTTGAGGCCACTGTTTTGAGTCCCCCGATCCCCACATGTGCTGTTAAACGGATAAAGATCTTCTCTTAATTTGCTGGTGTTTTTTGTAATTGCATGTGTTTTCTTAAATTGCAGCTTGTTAAGCTCTCTCAGCCACCGTACAGCAATGATATAATACAAAGTATGGCTTTATAAATGTACATGTTAAAAAAAAATAAAAAATCTAAATATTAAAAAAATTCAAGGATTTAAAAAGTTAATGACCATAAAACGTTTCATCACCATTCATTATGCAATTCAAACTCACCGCTTTACAGTTTAAATAATAACTTATCTTTATTTATTTTTTATTTTTTTTGTTTAAAGACATGTACTAAAGCAGGCAGAACCAGAGGAAGCTGGAAACCAGACATTAGTGCAAAGGTAATGTGGACGAGAAGACGAGCCATGGGGGAAAATGTCAGGAAATAGTGAAACGATAGAGATATGATTATTGAAATAGAATTTCCTGTTTAACACGTGACATGCCAGGTCAGTTT